ATATATGACAGGTACCCATATTAAGTTTTCCTGTTTGACCTATGTTGTCTTGCCTTAAATAATTTCCGAAATTTAGCATTATTACTGGCTTTATTTAAGAGCATTTTTTTGTTTTGTAATGTCTTGTTTTGTGCGAAATGATATTGCAATAAAAAAACTTAATTTTTAACAGAAATTTTATTCAGTACTATACGGTATAACCTATGTCAATAAAGTTATCGTACATTATCATGCATCTATTAGGCTCAAACAAAAGAAAACAATTTCCATGAGCACTTGAATAAAGTTTTAAGTTTGTATTGTTGCATTTGATTGTGACAGCATTTATCTATGTGAAAATATATATAAATTGAATTCTATTACAATAACAAGTTGTTGAAAGATAATTATTTTTTTCATTGTAGGGCTATCGTGTGTGTCATTAAAGAATTATTCGTTTGACATTACTGTATTTATGAGCATTGTCGCATAAATTTGAACGTTCGGGAACTGTATTTTATTGTGACGACATTGACAGTACCGCGCTTCCGTGTGCCACGATGCAGAAGTGTGGAATATTGATATATAAACTATATAATCATTATCATTATTAATTAGAGATCAATTATTATTATTATTATTATTATTATTATTATTATCATTATTATTATTATCATCATCATCGTCGTCATCATCATCATCATCATTATTATTGTTGTTGTTGTTGTTGTTGTTGCTGTTGTTGTCGTTGTTGTTGTTGTTGTTATTATTATTATTATTGAATAAAATGAAAGAATGACCATCAACGATTATGAGAGTTGCGTTAACTCATGTTTTAATGACATAAATAAATACATTCAACAGAATAATTAACAACTAGGCCTCGCTAAAAAAAGATGAACTCTCCTTCTCTCCATTGAAATTGCCTAATTTGTATAGGCCTATATGCAAATTAACTTGAAATTAAAAATTCTCTGTCAAATAATGAGTGCATTAGAAATATTAGGCTTAACAACTGTTAGATGAAATTAAATAGATACAATTGTCTATTAAGAAAATCCCTCTGGTTACTTGCGGGTTTTAGTTTTTTTGTTATAGGTACTTTATCTACGTCAAAGTATGTTTATTTAGTGCAACTTATAGGTTGAACGTTCCTTATCCTTATCCGTTGGCCTTGGCTCTATACAGTTAGGTAAACATCAGTAAGCCGTGGGTTGCTTCGGCGACCTCTAATACTATCCCCAGTACTGTCTTCAACCGCCTCCCCTGTGCTACACTGGTCCCCGCATTCATCATCCTCTTCGCCTTCACAGATTGATACACTGCATCTTATTGTTATCTATCGATAAAATACATTGTAATATTAGGCCCAATAAAAAAAAAACCCTGGAGCACTCTCTTCTATGGTTCTGAAAAAAAAAAATTTCAAGAAAAGTTTTTAGCCATCCTTATCCGTTGACCTTGGTTATATACCGTTGGTAAACAACAGTAAGCCGTGGGTTGCTTCGGAGACATCTTGTATTATCCCCAGTATTGTCTACAACCACCTCCCCTGCACTGGTCCCAACGTTCATCATCCTCTCCCCTCATCACAGATCGATACACTGCATATTATTATTATCTGTCGATAAATACATTGTGATATTAGGCCCAATTAAAAGTTACCGGTATTAGTTTATTACCCTCGCGCGCATGTCTTCTATGGTACTGAAAAAAAAATATTTTTGAAAAAAAAAATTATTTATTTTATTTATTTATTTTTTTAACATTTCTTTTTTTATTTTTGA